TTTAATCTATCAAATTGCGCGTGCAATTTTTGCGATAGACGCAAAGACGGATGGGAGATAACGTCGCGCGTGTAAATGCGAGAACGCGTGTCACGTCACGCAGCCGTCTTTTTCCGAGAAATTAGTGCACTTTAACGGTCGCACGGTGAAATGTTCCCTCACGAGATAAAAATGATAACCGATACGCCGCAAGCCCCTCCCACGTATTCTATTGAGATGCGTGTGATAAAATGATACGCTAAAATTGTCGCTGTCTCTCCTGTACACTTTGTGTTTATAAATTGTTCTCTATATTATGCAACTTCCGTTTTAATATTTTCTCTCTCGTTAAATATAAGTTTTCACATTCTTACGAGATTCTCACGCCTTATTTTGGATGGAAAAATTTAAATATAATAAATAGAATTTTCTATTCAATTATATAACGCTATATATTTTCTGCATCATCTTCATATTATTAAAATCTAAAAGATTCTATTATTAAACGTAATTATAACTTTCTTCTGAGAGATTTTCATTTTCACATTTCCGATAAAAAGTCTTGGAAGGCTAGATAGAAGGGTACGATAAATGTTTCCAGTTTCTCCGCCTGTTTGGATAGAATTAACATATCAGTGCGGATTAATTGACGTAAACGCGATTACCATTCCTCTCGTTTCGAGGGTTGACGTTGCGGATAAAGCTCCGGAATGAGTGAGCCCGGGCGTGTTTGGAATAAAAATCAGCATAATTTCAGCGAAGGTTCAACCGGGGGTAGTTTACCGTGTGTATCCGACGATCGTCGCGTGGCGCGTGACACTGACAGCGCTATTTCCGCGGTTAGCAATCGTCGTCGCGGCCCGTCGGCCGCTCATCGCAGTCATTATGAACGTTAAATATGTCGGTTCAATAAAGTCAGTTGCAACGGAGAGCGGCGGAAACCGGCTGAATGTCAATCCGACCATTGGACGGACTTCATGGTTACATCCGGGTGGAGTCATTGCGGAAACGAAGGCCATATTATGGTTTGATAGAAAACGCTTTATATTTTTAGACAGAAAGCTTGTCACAAATAATATTATTTGTGATTACATTTGATTTCGTAATATGAAAACGTGAGTGCAAAAAGTGAGTGCAATCTAAATGAAAAAATACGTATTAAATATTATTTTCAAAATAAATGTCCAAATAATTTAGATAGTAATGTAATTTTATAAATTAAATAATTTAAAGATGGTAATATATACAATTTCGTTTAATTTCTGATTCAGATAATGTTTAAAATTCCGTTAAAAATATAATAACTTTGAAGAAATACTTTTTATAACTAACATTATTTACAGTTACACTTAGTTGTATAAGATAAAATAAAATTGTCAGACGTGAACAAAAAAAAATTAATTACGTTAATGGAAGTCGGCTATTACAGAGAGTTTATGATTAAAATGAGAAAAAGCTCCTTTTCCCGGAGCAATCGTTTCGCGGGCGGAGAGAAAGTTACGTCGCGTTAAAGAAAAAAGGAAATGACACGGAGAAAAATCCGCGAGCGAACTTGCGGAAACTGTGAAAACAACGCGAAATATCCAAGAGCGATTCTTGCGAGAGAACGACTAATTACGTTAATTAGCAGGCGGGGGATGTACACGCTCGCTTTTTGCTGCTTGGAACGTGTGCAATTTCGAATTACGCATCCCGCGAGATGTAATTCGGGGCGCGGCAAAGTGGGATGCTGCTTCACGTGGCCGACATTTACGGGCACTACTTTCCGCGCGGAAACGTACACATAACGTACGTCGGAGTGATATCCTCGGCGGGACTGTAAGTCACACGGCAAGGAGGCGAGAGACACGCGCTCGAGGTGTCCTCGCCGTCCACTTAAAATTACGCGGGTCGCGATGTCACCGGAGAGACTCCGACACCTCGCGATGTCGAACGCGATATCGAACGCGAACGCGCGTGAACGGCGCATTGAGAAGAGCGGTAACATTGTCCCCGGCGTGACGAACAGTAGGCACGCGGAATCGGGAAAAGTCCGGGGAAATTGAAAGCACCCGATCGGACACGTCGCAGGCGGGGAAGAACGACGGGAAACTGCAACGAACTTCCGCCCGGATGGACAGAAATGCGATAGCGAATTCGTTGGCTCGGCAATAATCGCGCACCTTTGAATATTATTCGAGTCGACGTGAGCATTAAAAATAATATATTAAACGCGTATAATCGCGAAATAAAATAAAATTGCAAATTGGAGTCGCGATTGTAAATTGGGGGGGGGGAGAGCAAAAGGAGAGGAGGTCGCCATTAGTTTTATGCGAAATTCCGCGCGGTCTTTGCTTTGACAGAATCTTAATACCCTTGACAAAGTATCGCGGAACTTGAGTCTCGCCTCTTAGCTCTTATTTGTATAAGCCGAGTAATTAAAGGCTAAATTAATAATTAAAAGTAGGAGTGAATAAAAGTTAGTAATAAATATTAAAAGCTAAAGAAAATAATGGAAAATAACAAGACTGTCCGACTGCACGTTGCAATGGTCAAATGCGCTGTCAGAATGCCAGCCCTTTGGATCCTTCGGCGGATCCTCGGCGGGCGAGTTTCAGACCCGCGCGGCTGCGGTGCGGATTTCCAGCCTGAAATCCCGCACGGCGCGCTCTAATTTTCTATTTCCGGCTTGTATTTCTCTCGACGCGACCGCGGCTTAATTAGAAGCACGAAAAGTGGAAAGCGGACGAAGGGGATGGTGAAAAGGTCGAAGGGGGTCTCTCGCGCGCGCTTCTCTCTTTTCCTCCTCGTGAAGATAAAAGATACTAACTTCTCCCCGTGGTTTATCGCGGCGAGCCTGGACTCGCGCGGATAAATACGCCTCGGCTTCGTTATCGATCGTCAGCGGCGACGCATCGCCTGATAGCGCGTAAGACGAACTTGGTTTTCTCTCGAGTATCACTCCGTCCGCGCGTCGCGGCTCTCCTCGCGCTGCGCGCGGACGGCCGCACGATCAAAGGAAACGTGAGAACGCTATATTATTAATTAAATTCAATTCCAATCTAATTATAAATATTTAATACCCATATACTTGTAATTAAGTGTGCATGATTTATAAATTGAACGTCATTTGATGGCAATAATTAAAATTAATTATGTAAAGTGGATCATTACTCGCCGGAATTATTTTGAAAATCTTTCGACGATAAACGGTAAATTTTTGCATAATGCGGTTGTGTTTAAAGTACTCCCCATTTGTTTCAATTTCACGCGAAAGCGAAATATTTGGGGCAATTTGTCTCTATTTGCTTTACACGCTTTCATTTTGTTCCCGGTATTTATTTTATTTTATTTCACGATTCATTACTATCGGGCGAGAAAAATCACGCGGACGGAAAAATAAGTAATCAAAATTACGCTTTGTAAAAACGCTAATACGCGCATTTGTTCGCTTCGGGTCTTGATTTTTTTCAGTAGCGAAACGAACAAATTGCTATTGCATACATATTTCTTTATATTCATCACATCTATCAATTATTAATCGTATTAATAATTTTGCGATGCACTTTTCTCATATATTAATATATTAACGACATCGATTAACTTGGGGTGAATTATTTTTAGCGAAATAAGCTACGCCCGTCTGCTGTTTCGTGGCCGATGGTCGATTAGCTGTCTGAGCATGCCGCTGGTGTAGATCTAATTCGAGAATGATAACGCAGGTTCAAAGACCTTCCTCTCTCGACGTAAGTCGATCGGGCGCGACGAACAGCTTCATCAGTGTAGTATAATTTACAGGATTGTGCCGATGGATCGTGACTGACCCTCGTTAGCTGCGATATAATGCAAACAATTCCGAAACCCGGCGATTATCATTCATAGAGTTATACGCGACCGTCCGCGGGGTTCTCGACCGCGTGAATAAATCAATCGATGACGAATACGAGCTATTTTCGAAGGACACTCGTACGCTCGATTCCCCGTTTTATAAATGAAAAGGGATTCGGAACAGACCGACCGCAAAAAGACTCGGTCGAGAGCGCATGTGTGGGCATGTGTGGGCATGTGTGTGTGCGTTATCGCACAGAAAGTGGACTGTGAATCCCAGATTTAGTGTCGCGCGATGAATCTTTATTTAATTCAGGGAGAACTCAAAGGCCAAAGATCGAATAGTCAAAGTCAATAGTTCAGAAGACCTGGATACGTAAAAGAAGCAAAAATAAAATTTTAATGAAATTTTTTACCAATTTTCGAATTTCGACATGTGGAAATTCGAAAATTGACATTTTAACATGTGGAAATTCGAAAAGATTAGAGTTGTAAACTGCGACAAAAATCTAAAATTTAAGACTGAAGAGTCTAGAGATATAAAAAAATTTAATGAGCATAAGATTTTATTTTAAGCATTAAATTAAATTTTATCAATTAGAAATTGAGTGAATATAAATTTAAAAAAAAAACGCTAAGACATATTTAGATATTAAATAATATTGAACACACGGTGTAAATTTTCTATTAATAATAAAATTTTATCGAGATAAAAATCATGCATAATTAAAAAAATTGAATAAAATTATAGAATTAAATAACAATTTTTAAAACATTAGATCCAGAAAAAATACTGGAATTTAAAATATTTGAGATATATAGTGCAATATGTATATATTAATTAAAATATATAAAAATGAAGATCATGCAAAATAAATTCCGTCATGCATTTGCATTCTTGAAGTTTGATTCTTGAAGGGTTATTCATTAGTCGAACGGAGAGCAAGCTTTTAATCGTAGCTCGGTATCGAAGAGAGACCACGCGGATCTCAAACCGACCACGGTTTTCAAAGAGAATGCGTTAACAAACGGGACACTCGGTATATATATATATATATCCGCGAGTCTCAAAGGACCTGGAATTCGAGCGTTCGGCCAATCGAACCGCTGCTTCGAACACTACTTTTGCACAGGTATTCCAGTGTATAAAACGTAATGCACTCCCTTTCTCGCTCCCTCCCTCGGGAGGGAGATCAATGTATCCTCTCGCTTACCTTTTCTACGACTCACTACTCCGCGAGCGACGTGTCCCGTCACATTCCACGAATCAGCCGTGACACCCGTTACAGCCGCGGGAAACACGATCCTCCTCCTCCTCCTTGTCACCGCCGCCGTCGTCGTCGTCGTCGTCGTCGTCGTCGTCGTCGTCGTCGTTGTTGTTGTCGAATAATCCTGCGGGCCTGCCGGTACCATCCACGGTCTTTGTCTAATTCGGGAACTCGAGTCACACACAGAGAACGGGACAGGATGCGAAGAACACACGACGGGGACGATTTCCGAGAATGCGGATCCCTCGAAGTTGACCGGCGCCGCGCGGCGCTCCGCTCGCGAGGTGTCCTGTCAAGCCACGCGCTCTTTCAGAACCCCGATACGCACATGGAGGCCGCCGGTCTCGTCCCGATTCAAATGTCCTCTCGATCGAAAATCCTTCCAACACAATTGCACCGATGCCGATTGTTGTGTTTATTTGAATTTCTCGCCCCGCCAGCTCGGACGGGCCACGCCGATAGAGGAATCGCCGGGCGGGCAGAAGCGCGCAGGATGCTGCCGCAGCCAGGATGCACCGGCGCGCCGCGAGGCGTGCACCGCAAACTAGCCGCCCGCTTCGCCGGTCGGATCTCCCTTCAGGGCGCCGAACATCTCCCGCGGGAAGCCACGGCACGCCGTTTCACGACTCCGCCGCACGTCCTCAGCGTCCCCTCGACGGGAACATCCTGAGGTTACGGCTCTCGACACTCGCCAAGTTTCCTTTCAACACTCACTCCTCACTTCTTCTTTATCTCCCGCGGGATTCTGAAGTACAATGGAAATTCCTCTTCGAAGGATGACAAATTCGCAGACGCAGATGCAACACGCCGTTGTGAAATGATGAATCCGATTGCGGCCGATGAGCGTGGCCGTTTGAAGATGACGCCGAGGCACGTTGAGGAAGTGACACTGGAGATCCTGGCTTTTCCTCGCTGACCGATCCTGCTCTCGCCGCCGACCGAGGAACGCGGTCAGCACGCCTTTCTCGCGGCGCTCTCCGCTCTCTCGCGAGTAAACTCTCTTTCTCTCTCTCTCTCTCTTTCTCTCTCTCTCTGTCTCTCCTTTCTCTCCGGAAGTCACGACCTCTGCGCCAACAGCGAGTGAGGGACGGAGAGGGAGGTATTATCCTGCGTGGACGAGAGAGGACGATGGTGCTCGCCGGAACGTTGAATTACGCACCGCAAACAACGACGTAGTTGAAGGACGATGCTGCAGCCGAGGACGGGCGTCGTTCACGCCCCCGTTCCGTCCGTCCGCTCGTCCCGTCCCGTGCGTTCCCCTTTCTTCTTCCACTACGCGACACGACCACGGGGACGCCGTTCGCACGAGGGGGAGAGGCGTCGGCGGCTGCCTTCCACCAGCCACGAAGGAACGATAATCACCGGAATCATCCGCACTGCTAGGACGCGGAGACGTGGCTCCGTGTTGAGGGACGAGGCTAGGCAGCGCTCCAGAGGCACAGAGTGTGGTAGAGTGAGAGAGAGAGAGCGCGCGTAAGCGAGCGAGGCGACGGTAGAAGCGGTTGAAGAGGGAGGGGGAAGAGAAGAGCAGGAGTGAGGGAGAGCGCTAGAGCCGTTTTCTTTCGGAGCGAAGGGACCGAATGCTCGCGACGTCGGGTGGATTTCCGAAAACGCACGTGCGGCAAACGCGACACCCGGCTGCTGCACACCACGTATAGCACACGTCTCGCTGCCTTTTTGTTTTATTTTTTTCCTCAATTCTCCTCACAGACGACACATCCCCGAGAGAGCGAGCGAGCGAGCGAGCGGCGGCGGTCGCAGCTCTCGCCTCCTTCCTCGCCAACGCCTACACGATACACATTGCACGCAGTAGCAACGACGCCCCTACACGCCGAGCGTTAGTGGCGCTCAGCGCGGCTGATGCGCGTCGCGACGGCGCCGGGACGCTGAGAACCCCGTTTCCAACGACGCCGGGAGGAGTTTTACTAATGCAATCGTCGAGATTTCCTCTTGCGCGCGACGAGAAGATGTCAGAATTGTTTTAGGATGCCATTGCAACTTATATTTGACGCTTTCATCGTTCAAAATAGCGTTTTGTCTCATAAAACGGAAAGAACTATATTTAACAAATTCTAGTTACGTTTCGCGCGTCAGGCTTCTTAAGTTGGTTGCTGTGAATTTTATACATGTTCCAGTAAATATTCGCGTTAACATATATTTTGTTTAGAAAATATAAAAATTGAAAAATATTATTAAACTATGAAAAATATTAAAATAGCCAGGATTAAGAAAGGATAGCTTTAAAAGTCCACCAAATTCTACACGTCGAAACGCGTCTCAAGCTACGACAAAGAGAACAGCAGATTAGCTGCGTCCTTTTCTTTCGTAAGCGCACTGGAAGCGTCCCTTTTTGATCACCACCACACTTACATCTGAATCAAAGCTACAGGCTTTCAGTACGCATACGAAGAACAGAGACGCGACTAATGTGCTGCTATTCTCGTCTTCACGAAGACTTATGTTAGGCTCGCGTAGAAAGATGCGTTCCAGTTTGTATAAATTTCTGTAGGAACGTCTATCTCCCTTTGTATTTGCATAAAGATGAACATCCCCATTTCATAATACTATTCTTTTTCCATAATTGGACATCTCCATCTCTTTAAGGGTTACTTCATATGTCATATAGTTAAATAAACATGTGCTAATTATTTGTAACATATCCTAGACATCACTAAGAAGCATTTCTAAACATTAAAAAATTTTCAGTTTTAGGTGTTTTGATCAGCTCGTTAATTATGAAAAACGGAACAATTCCTGCTTACTCCACATATTAATTTTGTTAGGAACCTTAAGGTACTATTATTGTATTATTAAAAATATAAAAAATATTTACTTACAGTATATAACATCCATAAATACAAATACATAACGTAGAAGTAAATTTTCGTAACTCTTTTTACAGTTTGCACGCCCATGTAATAGTAGAAAATACGTTTAGAAGCTGCAGATATTCATCGCTTCCTTCTGTTAAGTAGTAATCACATTTCTGGAAAGGAGGAAAAGGCTATTACACTTTTGAACTCAACTTACATTATTAGTTTCTCATGTGTACGTGTATCAAAACTTACGCCGAGCACATCGCCAATTATCACTTTCTGTTTGTCAGTAAATTCTTCAGAGAAGATAATTTTCTCGTTCAATTGCTTGATCACCTAGCAAAGAGATATTGAAATTAGACTCAGTATTATAGAAATTATCAATATTGATGTCGAAATTATTATTTACGTAGTCTATTCTTTTATTTAATATACAATTTAACGGCTTATAAAAATACCTGTGCTGCTGGATATCCTTCCAGCAATAAATCGTCAAGCAATTTCTGGATGTCATTATAACTTCCTTTCTTACAGGTTTCTAGCAGTGAATTAATTTTGTCATCGGGAACTAGCTAAAGTAACGAAAACATACGAAAATCTCCAATTATCTAAAGTACTAAAGCTTATGATAAACAATCTTATATTTTTAATGGAAAGACATATTTACCCCAATTACATCGAGAGCATCGTCCACAGTGATCTCGTACTCTTTGCCTTTCAATCGAGTGATCGATTGCAGACACATAACAGCCTGTCTCAAATCGCCACCCGATGCTTCAACGATTTCCTTTAGGACGCTTCTGTCCGCTTTTAGGTTCTCCTCGTTGCATATATATTCGAGTCTGACGATGCTCTTTTCATCGCTCAGTGGTTTAAATCGGAATTTCGTGCAGCGTGACGCGATCGGCTTGATGATTCGCGACAGATAATTGCACACCAGGCAGAAGCGCGTGCTGTGTGCTTCCTTCTCCATGATTCGACGGAGCGCCGTCTGCGCGGCGCCGGTCATGCTATCCGCCTCGTCCAATATGATGATTTTAAACGGTGGACACTTTTTTCCGCTTTAAGAACAGATTATTGAGATAATATTAATCTTATTATTTTTGTGCAGTCCGATAAGTTGTAAATAAAATCCATGTAATGTGCCTCAGATTGTGCCGTTTTGATCATAAGCCGCAGTACAGTGTGCGAGATATTCAGAAAGAATTCGATCAACTCTTAAATATTCGCGTTATGCAATTTGATCAAAGTGATTTGAAGAAAAATATAACAATAATTAAAGCCATTGATAAGTCCTAACTTTATGTAAAACTATAAAACAACATTGAAAATAAAGCTATAGAATTTAATGGTGATTAAATTTAAAGTTTGAAAATAATTTTAATGTATTTAAAAGTTGAAATCTAGATTGTATGCTCGCGCTTTTCAGAAGTTTACTTGTCTTACAGTAATTCTACAATTTGGAGCACTTTTTCTGTTTAGTTGCTAATAAGAGATGCTAAGACATTTTATTAGACCTCCTTGATGACAACCAGATGTGCCTGTTTGAATGTCTCCTACACTGATATTCTGCGGCCATCAGACCTTTTACTGGTTCATCATTGACGCATTTTGCTTATTTAATAAGTTACAAAGCAAGTGTATGTCTTAGATTACATCATTTTTATCACAAACCACAATATAATTTTGGATGAAAATGGTAATCATTGTGATATTAGAAATAATTAACAAATTTTCGAAAAATTTTTCAACTATTAAAGTATACTGTTGAAAAAAAATTTACACTAACTCACTCTGGCCCAGAAGCATTGGCTCTGCGCAGTGCAAAGGTCTTGATCTTCTCTCTCACAATCTGGATGCCTCTGTCGTCGGAGGCATTCAACTCCAATATCCTGTCTTTGTACATACTGCCGAACATTTGTCTCGCAGCAGCATGAATGATGCTGGTCTTGCCGGTGCCAGGCGGTCCGTAAAATAACAAGTTGGGAAAGTCATCGCGCTCCATGGCTTGCCTTATCACATTCACCACTTCTGTCTGCTCCACGATGTCGTCGACACTCCTCGGTCGGCTGTGAACGACATGAAGAAAGTGCAAAATCTCTATCTACAATTGTGACGTACGTTAGAACCGTGTAAATATAATTTTGTATTCATGTGTAAAGATCGAGAGAAGGTTAATCCTGTGACTGGGATATAACGGATACTCACTATTTCTCCACCCATGGTACAAGGTCCTTCTTGTCCTCCTTGGCGCGGGAGGTCGACGGTTTCTTCGCATCTACTGGGGCGCCCAATTTTCCGGTCTTCAGAAAGGCGTGCATTTTTCTGATCAGCCTTAACAGCAACGTTGCCTCTTCACGAGTTTTCCCGCCTACTTGCTGCCATTTGTTTAAGCCCAGGTTACACAACTTCGGCAGACTTTAAGCCGCAGAAATTGATGTGTTCGTAAATCTTCTAGGGTCTCTAGCGCCATCTGACCAATCGTATATAAGATTCTATGCGTGATTCATGGAAACAGTTCGTGAAACAGTTGGCATGATAACGCAAAGTTGATACATCAAGCGCAGTGTGAGCGCAGTGTATCTGGGTATCTTTATCTGTATGATCGTTTCGTTTTTGATTGCTGATATTTAATAGAAAAAATAATTATGACTTCGCTTCTTGCACCGGAAAATCCGCCGCCAGGCTTTTCCTTCGACCTCTGCCTAAGGTGAAGATTTTACCATGTTTTATATAAAGATACCATTATATTTGTGGTCTGTTGTCACAGTTAACCTACAAGTACTACATATTGCTGTGTCACAGTTCCAGAAAAGCAATTATTTTCGCATTTTTTAATAATAGAACTTTAAGATCGACGTCAAATTAATTTGTATTAATGTTTTTAAGTTACTACATATGCATGTGTTAAAACATTCGATTGTAATAATGCAAATAATTATGTTAATTGCTATTCTTGAATTTCTTTACTTGCGAAATTTTGTATTAAAGATATTATATTAATATCTATTTTAAGAATCTTTTCTCAGACTGATTATATAGTCAGAAAAATCATATATTTTATCTACAAGTTGATTTGGAATTAATAATATTAACATTAATATTGTATTTATTGCAGAAACAATGCCTTGATCAAGAAAGGCTTTGCCGCTCCGAAAGCAGTCAAGACAGGTACCACCATTGCTGGTGTGGTGTACAAGGATGGCGTTATTCTCGGTGGTGATACAAGAGCTACCGAGGACACCATTGTCGCCGACAAGTACAGTTTGAAGATCCATTATCTCGCTCCTAATATGTAGTAAGTATTTCAACATCCTTTGCAGAACGAATTAATGCTGTAAGCTAATGCACTAAATTAATTTTTAGTTGTTGCGGAGCTGGCACAGCAGCCGATACTGAGATGACTACTGAGATGATATCCAGTCAATTGGAGCTGCATCGTCTAAACACTGGTCGCGTAGTGCCTGTCTGTACTGCCAACACATTGATAAAGCAGATGTTGTTCCGTTATCAGGGTCATATTGGTGCTGCACTTATCTTAGGCGGCTTTGATCTCGATGGACCGCAATTATATTGCATTTATCCGCATGGTTCCACTGAAAAGTTGAAGTACACCACCATGGGATCTGGTTCGCTGGCCGCTATGGCTGTCTTTGAAAGCAGATGGAGGCCTGACTTACCAGTAAGTAGTGCTAATCATACAATTAGTTAAATAATCTGGATTGCTGTTATTTCAAAACTTAAAAAATTGGGCATTTAGAAAGGATTTAGAATCTAAAATAATATTTATTTTAAATTTAATTCTTTATTGTCAACAATGACAATAAATCATTATGTTATTATTTATTATCCAATCTATTGATTTATGTTAATACTAATTTATGTATATTCGTATAATTTATTTCTTAATTTCTACTCGTATACCTTTATTTCATGTCTATTAAATAGCATATCAAAAATATTTTTTATAATTCTATTTCTGTCAAAATTATAAATGGCTGTATTTTTAGGAGGAGGAAGCAAAGCAGTTGGTGGCGGACGGCATTCGCGCTGGTGTGTTCAACGATCTGGCGTCAGGATCCAATGTTGATTTGTGTATTATTCGTAAAACCGGCGTTGAGTACTTGCGACCGTACGACACCGCCAGCGTGAAGGGTAAGCGGCAGTTCAGCTACCGCTACAAACCCGGCACCACTGCGGTGCTTACGAAAACGGTGCAGCCGATCATCGTGGAAGAAGAAACGGTGCGCACAATCGAACCTGAAGCGATGGACACGTCCTCATAAAACTGCAAATTGTAATATAAGGTTCTACAAGATTAAGTTAATATAATAAATTTTTTTTCCAAAAAATATAGCGCCAGTTGTAAAACATACTCGAAATGTTTATAATAAAATTCTTATCGGCATCTTGCGAGGACAAAGTGTGCAATTTCTAAACGTTAAATTGTGCAAAAAAAAAACCGTTAAAGAGTCCGGCGGCCTGCTTGAGTCGCTGCCTCTTCCAGGTTGGCAGTTTCTCGAATTCCGCGGGCTCCATCTTGAAAATTGCGATGAAATTGTCATAAGTCAAGTGCATCTCCTTGCGTTGCACGTCGACTCCGGCCGGCAAGTTCTCGGGATCGCTCTTCAGCACTGCCGGCGGATACTTGATGTAATTATCGAAATCCGTAGCAGCTTTCGAAACTGTTTGCAGCGTTCTCGCCGATTGGTCTCTGTCATCCAACAGGGCGCAGAACGCCTCGAATGGTTTGTAGTCCCTCAGCAAGTTGTGATTCCAATTATCGAACAGGCCGATGAAGGTAGCCGGCTCGAAACCTGAAGAGCGAAGAATAAATTTAATTAAATCTGATGAAAATTTTAAGAGAAAAGATTGAATAAAAAGGATTTCGCTCGAAAGTAGGAAAATTCACGAAAAATCTAAAAGGTATTTTTTTTATAAGTCCTTAATATATTTTTTTATATTGCCTGAAAGAACATTTTTAGTCTGCAGGATGTCTTTTCGACTATGCGCTCACTTAGAACTCACCTTGCTTGATTACGGAAATGGTTGTATTGCGATTGCGACCCGCAGGATGCATGTAGAGGTATATAGTAGCGTCCTCCACGCATTCCTGCAGCGTCCTCGGCGTGGAGAACTTGCCTATCCATATCCAGATCACGCTACCGGCATCCAGTAGCCAGATGGCTTCCGGTATCAAGGAGTTCTGCCGGAATCCGAGAACCTGCTCGCCCACGAAGAGACCGTTTTCGGTGCGGCATTGGAACAGATGCTTGTCGAGCTCTTCGCCCACCTCCTCGGTTTCTGTACTGTATGTACCTCTTCCTGAAAAAGACAATTGTGTGACCTCTTTAGCAGTGAAAAACTTAATAACTATTAAATGATTTTAAATCCACAGAACAATTTGTAAGGCAACAAAATTTGACATATAATTCTAAATTAAATTTCATCTTTTTCCTAACTCAAATTTTTAATTTTGCAGAATTCAATCATTATTATATTGAACTTGTCAATTACAGATATAGAGCAATTTCGTTTATTCGATCACAAAAATCAAAAGGAATTTTTTCGATTCAGAGAATTTAAAAATCAAAAGTGCTTACGAAAAATTGAACTTACCTCCGAGTTCGACCCAGAAGTCGTCACCTTCTTTGCCCTCGGTGACGAGAGGAGCGTTTCTAGGTGCAAGGCGTCGCGACGCTTGTCGAGCGTCGCCGGTGCTCTTGCCGCCGCACCAGACGACCGGCACGCCGGAGAAGAGGATGAACACCGCGCTGGAATCCAGGCTGCTCGCTCGCAACGGCCGTTCCACGGCCTTCGACGTGTACGGCGTGGAACCGAATACTCTGATCAGGTATTTCTTCGGAGCTACGAATCGAGAATTTATATTTCAAATTGAAAAGATGCGCAAATTCTTCTTTAAAAAAAAAGGCAGCACGGTTTTTATTCTAAATTTAATTTTTTTTAACGACTAACTTATTTAATTTTAATTTAAATGAAATTTTATCTTTATGTTTGTTATTGTTTTATATGTATTTTTATAAAGAGACGAGCAATTTACGTGAATTGCGATGACGTCCGGCGAGTATTTTCAGCTTTCCGTCGTAGATTTGTAATAAATGAGGCGGTTCTCTGCCCTGGGATGCTCTCACTAATTGCGCGTTTGCTTCTTCGGACAAACGGCAAGCTGCTGTCAAAGCTGCATCTCGATCCACTTTGACAGAGTGAACCCCTTCCCAGCAGTAAATCTGAGGAAAACACACGATTGCCTCTAGAATTTTTTTAGTATTATAATTAGAGCCTAGTAATTAGAGAATTAATAACTATATCATTAGCTTTTGTAATAAGAATTCAATTAAATTTAATGATCGTAGCTTTGATAATTCTCAAGAGAAAAGAAATTAACAATTACGTATTTGTCGACTTTAGAAAATTGATAAGTGTAAAAAAGTCGAACTTCACGCACGATAGTTCGACTTCTTCGTCCTTGTCCGTATTTGTACAGCATCACGTAGCAGGCTTCGGCGTAGTAGATTCCTCGGTCATCTTCCACCTGTACCATGCCTTCTTTCTGCTCGACCCTCCATAAAGTCCTCTCCCCCGAGCCGTCGTCCACCAGCTGACACTCGGCCGCCATCCTTGGCCTCTCATTCATGTAATCAGGCTCGAAGCTCGTCGGCAAGGTCAGCGGCCTCGTCTTTGAGGGCTCCCAGCCCCGCAGTAGTGCCTTCATCTCCGCCGGTTCGTAACCTTTTTTCCATTTTACTTTTTTTTTTAAACAAGCTTCCATAAAGATTCGCGCAACATTTACTCAATTTCGTTAGTCTGCTTTAACTTAGCCGTTAATTTAGCTCATTAATAATTTTTCATTACTTTAATCTTCTTCTTTTACTGCAATCGACAGTTTTAACTTGATTAATTTTATATCATCCAAATATGCAGCTGCGATAGAGTTGAAGAAATTTAGAAACGGCGCTCGACGCGCGAGAAATGACACGTATTATACTTCAAAGTAGAAATCACTCTCTTACCTTCCGCCGCGCGGGCCACCGGCATGCTGTCGGTGTAGTTTTTCTTCTTGACGAAGCCCCGCGCATTCCTGACGGCCTCCAGTCTCTCCCTGGCGTTCACGTCGCGGCCCACCCAGGCCCAGACACCGGCTTCGCCGCGGTCAACCAGGTAGACGGAAGCGGAGGTCAGGTCGCTCCGAAGGATCGGTCCTGATTTTAATTCGGCGACCTTGTACTTGCCGGACTGCTCGCTGCACTTGTACAGCTTGATGGGGCTCGGTGGATTCACGCGATGCTGGCGATCGGGCGCCACCACGCGTCCTGTGGGATTCAGCACGCTGCTGAAGAGCTCCCTGTCGTCGCCGGGGAGAGTCTGCTCGTAGCCGTCTTCGACTACCACCACGCGACCGTTGTTGTTCTCCTTCTGAGACTCCAGAAGGCTCGCGGCGTGCCGTTTGTGCAACGGATCCGACAAAGATCCCAGCCACAGAAAGACGACGCCTCTGGAAATGAGAAAGTTTTTTTTTTTTTTTTTTTTCATATTAATCATCGCGCGTTAAGCAACACGCCGCGACGACTGCGCGATACACATTTGCATTTTAGCTCTCTGAAGAATAAGCGCTTGATTATTCTGGACGTGCAAAATTTTCTATTACGCACTTTGCGCGAATGTCCACCAGGATAACGTCGCGGCAGGTGAAGTGCTCCCAATGGACCCTCTCGAGCTCCGTCAGAATCGGAACAGCGACTCCGGAGACTCGATGTAGACTGCAAGCGGGCGACTCGAAATGCAGATTCTCGATGACCAATCGTTGCCGGAAGTACGCGAGAAAACGGGGACTTTCGCGGCCCTGCGCCTCTCGCATCAGGATCATCGCCGACACCTGCGAGTCGAGCTCGGCGGCGCGGAGCGCCGCGGCGCCCGACGCCGTCGAGTCGCATTTGCTGCCGATCCAGAAGTGAACGGCGCGCACCGCCGTGTTATCCTTCAGATCCTTGATCTGTCCATTAGCGTTTAATCATTAGATCTAACTTCAAGTTTCAGGAATTTTGTTAATTGATTCCGATCGGATGCTGACTAGGCAAAATTATTTTCTGATCGCGAGTTGAACAAGAGATTTTGAATAAATTAAATAACTGAATCGATAAAATTTTCTTAGAATTGGATAAAATTAATTTCAAGTCTTTAATGTCTAAATTTTCGAACGTCAAATGTTTTCGAGTGCGCAAAGCACCGATTTTTAATGGTCAATAAAGAAAATGTTTGTAAATTTTTGTTTGACATGCAAAAAAATAATTTTTAGAGTAAGAATAGTTCGATAACGAGCGCGAAGGATTAGATTCGGCGAAGCAAAATTGCCTGGGAAAAATAAATTTCGTATGCTAGACAATACTGATTTGCGTTCCAGCAGTTTCTCTTGCGGCGACGCAACATACAATGGAAGTAAAAGTACCGGCATGCCCGGATAGGGAAGAGCGCCGTCCTTCGCCGACACAGCGTAGACGATGTACGCCGATTCGGAGAGGAAGAGGCCCATGTTGCTTCCGGTGACAGCTGTCGCGCGCAGACCCTGCGCGACGAATAAAAGTGATGTATGCAATTTATTTTTTTTTTTCATTATTGGAAAATGTATTATAATTTGGATAAGAAAGAATAATCACCTCGATTTTCCAAACTCGAAAAGTGCTGCTGTTTTTCGGGATGTTCCTGAAGACCTCGCCGCCGGAATCATCGCTGCGATAGCTCCTGTCGTCCTGCGGGATGGTAGTAAAACCTTCAGGATACAGCACGCTCGTCATATTCATCCACAATCGTTAATAAAACTCAGTTCCTTAAAGATTCCTCGATGAACTTTCCTAATCGCGCTTTCCTTCTCGCATAAAAATAATTTTATGTCGCGAAGCAGCGATAAATCAATATTGAATCGACTCAACTTGCGTATTTAGCAGTTTTATATCCGGAGCAATGATAAAATACTCAAGTTAGCTCGAGCAGGTTTTCGTAATTGCCGTAAAATCAGCAAAAAAGGTGGAAACTGCGAGCGACTCTAGGCGAACGCACGCGCGTGGAGTAATCAGCCGCAACAATTAATTGCAGCACGCGATAACATTGTCGGGATTATTTCGCGCGAGCGAGTGTTCGCAGGCGAACGAGGCGAAGTTTCGCAACAAGAGAAACGGCATTCGCCCGCTTCGCGAGCTAACTGAAAACTGGGATACCGGAGCTCGTCGAGAGAGGATCCTTCGTCTCGCAGGTGCGCTCGAGTGCGTGCTCGACGCACTTGTGCAGATGCGGTCGTGACGAAAAACATGTAGTGCACGTTTAGAAATTTCGCCATAATTAACACATTATTATAATTTTTTAACGATCTAATGTAGTTATCGCACGAAATATTTATTTCAGCATTAATGCTAAATTCACCCGAGTTTTGTTCGAGCGATACGAAAATCTGAGACCTTTCGAAAGACTTCTTAGAAATTGGCACTTCCTTTGGGTATTTTTTACAAGGCATAAGCGTGAAATCAAACTTTCGACGACAGTGAATTAAAAAAAGGGTGAATTTAAAGAGTGCAATTTTTTGCATTTGTTAAATTGATATTTATTACTGTCGTTTATCTACCGCAATTATTACGGTTTGTTGGGGCCTTAAATAATCTATCTTACGCCACGCTTTCAGCTCGAGTTGATCGACCTGTAACCACTTCGAATCCCGGTAAGATGGGGCCCATTATGCCGCAGCAACCACCGTCGCATTGTGCTGGTTTTGTTCCACGGCGTGTGCGTGAGTGCGCGTTCGCGTTTCATTCATACATACCCACGCCTTACATTTCGCGGTGGCAACGTACGCACACAAGGTGTGTACGTGCACAGACGGCGCTCACCAACACGCGCGACTTAAGCATCATCCGCGACGATCATCGTCACCGCGCGACAGGACAGGAAGTCGTAACTGCCGTTCGTGTACGCCCACCTCTTGTGTTGTACGCGCGGGAATTGCGCCAAAAGGTGAAAATTCGCGATCGCCCGACCGCGAACAGTTGCGAGTCCCCTCACGGGGAGAAAAAAAAAAAGATTCAATTTCTCTTTCGCTCGCAATGATTCGTTTGTCACAATGACAGGATGACAGGTGTGGAAAAAAGGTGGAAGTGCCGGACGAAAATTTATGCAGTGCAATTCTCAATTCTTTTTTAAGAACATCTGAGTGTTTAGATACAGAAATTTGAAAGAGTTCGAATTTAAAAAACTAAATACGAACTTAAGAAACACTTTCGTATTTCAGATTACTTAATTGATGTTGTTTCAGAATTTGCTAATTATCTTTAATACTATTTAGAATCTCATCAATTCGTGTCATATCTTTCATTTTCTTCTTTGTTTAATTCTTTCTATCTATTTTTCAGCTTCATTCTTTATTCCTTACACTTGCATTCAGTTTTGTGAATCCAGATTTCTATTTAATTAATGCCTAAATAATTATGCAAGCACGAAACAGAGCAGAAACGAGAAGAGAACGAAGAAAAAAACTTATTCATTAAGATTTGCGACACATGAATTAAAGAAATTTTTCAGGAATGTGAGGAAAACATAAAAATTAATGAATTAAAACTCATAAAAGAGGAAAAGAAGTTACAGATATTTGCCGGACAGGAAATATTTCAGAAAATTCGTCCGCACTTGCGGCTGTCAGAAATTCAGGGATATTTTCCGTATCGCCGTTAGATAACTTTCTAAAAAAACCTCTACGTCGAAGTCTGAATAATTGGCCGTGGACGATCACTCACCCGCCTGGGGAAATCCATTGTTCTCGCTATCTTTCGCGGTTCACAAGTCGCGGCCCATTTAAAACGCGCCTTCCACCTACGCGGGGGACACGCGCCGAGGAGCGCAGGATAACGCCTCTCTCGCGCGCTCACGCGTATGTACGACGGCTAACTGTACACGCCGACAACTGATATATCCCCCCGGTTGGAAAAGAAACCGTACCGCTGCGGCGTATGCCGCGCGAATCGTCCGGAAGTGGACCCCGGAACTCCGGCCGGCCAGCCGTGACCGACCGGCAAACACAGCAACGTCGATGCGGGGCCGATCTCACCTGAACGCGCGCGCCGCACACACCTGCCGCCTGCCTTTCCAAACGTTACCTCTCGGCCACGAATAGATAGAGCACGGCGATTTATCACACGTCCTAGAACACGTAATGGGCCCCTCGTTCCGCACGCGTCCATCATGCGCGTTAAATGCGCTTGACGTTACAAATTTAAGACACATTAAGGAGCGCGCAAAAAATTAAAGGCGGATTAAAAAGAGGATCGCATGAGGTGTTGGCGCGTGCGAGTTATAATTGGATGTAGAGTGATGTTAATTAAATAGGAAGTGAATGAATAAAAGGATATTAAAACGAAGGATGGTTAGAAAATAGAGGATGAATACATTGTGTATCTTCTTTTTCTCTCGGAGAAATAAAATATTGTCCTCTTAAGTTAAGAAAGAAAGAAATACTTGATTGTGTGAAACATCTTTTATTTTAACAAGATCTTTAATTTATTGTCGGTTAGTAATTTGAAGATTTTCAAGTTTCTTCTTCAGGCGTAAATTAGATGCGATACGATCTTCGAAACAAAACGCGTTCGCCACGCATTTGTATCTGACAAAGCGACAGCGGAGGGATGAGCGCTTGGTCGACAAATGTCAGACAGGCGTCTTCCATCGTCCCTCGACGAGGATCACCCTTCGACGGCGCGGAGATCCTCCGATGGATTGGCGAAACGAAGAGTCGGATCAGTCGAGTGGTACATTGAGGTAGAGAGACGCTCTAACACACCGCGTTACGTACAACATGCGGTTTTTCTTTTCCCGGACAGTCGAGAATCTGAGGTGGGATGAGAATGTTCATCTCACGCCCCGGACGAAGGATGCCGTCGCCGCCGTGGATCACAACGTTCGCTCCCAAGGAATTCAGGTGCATTAAAGTTATGAAGAATTATGTTCGAAAACATTTCTGACAACCCAACTGGGTTTCTATTTTGCGTAGATAAATGTTGGACAATGAATTGATAAGTAAATGAAGGAATTATGTAATTATAAAATTGCAAAGACTATAGAAGATATAATTAAAATATAATTTAATTCTTCTAACTCTATTCTTTATTTTTTTTTTTTTTTTTTTTAGGCTGGGATCGGAATTTGTAAGGACATTAGGAACTTCACATCCGCTTTAGAGAATCTGGAGCTTGAGACGAATGACAAGGATCACCCGGAGCTTAGAACGAGCGACGCGCAGACGGATTACTTTAACGATTCCGAGCAGGAGGAGACCGTGCCGGTTTTCAAGACGAGAGAGATACCTACCTTCGAATTGGTGGTTCAAGGACCGGAAATCCTAAATTTCCAGGTGAGAACATTCTTATTTATCTGCCATTATTTTTTTAGAAGGCAATTAATTTTTTTAAGCATTACTACGCAAAATATGTAGAGATGGATTTGGAAAAAATATTCAATTTAAACGCGTTGCATTAAATAATTAAGTATCTTAACGACAGTAAGATACATCTTGCAGGGCACCAGACATTCTCCGGCAGATATCGCGCTCTACTGGAAGAAGGATTCTCGAATGTGGCTGTGGAAGTCGGTCAGGCTCGCGAGAAAAATAAGAAGGACCAAAGCGAAGGCCGCTGCTCCTGCGGGCTCTTTGTACCGCAAAGAATTTTAGCGCATATTTTTACTCGATGATTTGTACATACGAATTTTCGGATTGTGATTTTCATTTTTTGTATAAATACTTTTTTTACGAAAGTGACTTGGACGACGCGCGAAAGATTATATTCTTGTACCTGTTGAAGAAATAAATGTTAAAAGAATAATGATATGAGACAGAACTATGTTAATACTTAAATTGTACAATAAAAAAAGAAAGAAAATAAAAATAAAAATTAATATAAGGCAAAAGGATAAAAATACGATAATGATAACTGTATAAATTTTATGTTACATCATCGATTTTATTACAATAAAACAGTACACTGTACATGTAGCACTAAGAAGTGGTCTTACGATATATCGTTTCTTTCGACCGCTCGTTATTCAAAACTATGCGAGTAATCCTTCGCATATATCTTTGCTCTTCCGACCTTATAACAAAAGTAATAACTATCATCGTCGCGAAAATTAATATTAATGTAAGATAATCAGAATAACGGATGAACCGTTTGCGGGGTGATTTAGAAACGAAGAGATGTAAAAAAAGATTTTTTTAACTGCAGGTTTGAGCGCTTTTTAGCGTCGACTCTTCCTCGAGCTCCTCGCCAACTTCAAACCGCGCGAAATCGATGATCTCGGCCTCCGTGCTTTCCAGCAACTGCTGCACGGAGAGCGTGGGATCGAGCAGAAACTCCTGATAGATCATGCATGGTTCTTCGTCTGTGTTGTCGTTCGGCTCGTCTATCCGCGGATTGCCGATCTTCTGCGGGTCCATGCCTGGCAAGTAGATATACGACAATTGTAATAAATAATAGATATAATTATTATTCCTTCCAGAGTTAAAGAATAAAAAATTCTCACCGATGATATGCTGGCAGAGCTGCGTGCCGAGCATGTTGTCCCTCTTCTGGCACTTGACGGCGATAACGGCGCCGTACTTGCCGAAGGAGACGGGTATGGGATTCATGGGCGCGGGATGCGTGCAACCGAACAGTGTGAAATCCGGCGACGATCGTACGCTGATGGCAAGCGCGCGCCTCACGCTAATGTTCTCGCCTACATTGCCGATGGCCAGGGCAGTGTGATCGGTCAGGGACTTGCCGTCCGTCGCCGTCAGGGCTTTAAGGCTGTCCACGTTGAACAGAATCCGCCGAATGTCGTTCTGAACCTCCTGGGACTTCGCGTGATTCAGCACGGCGGAGGCCACGGTCTCCGCGAGACCGTGGAACTTCTTGTTCCGCGCCACGAAATCTGTCTCGCAGTTGATCTCCGCCAGGGCAGCATGATGCCCATCAACTGTGACTGTGATTAGACCCTGACTAGTGTTACGGCCTTGCAACTTCGCTGCTTGTGACCAGCCGTGCTGCTGTGCCTGTTCCCTCAGCCATATTTCAGCCTGGAGCAAGGAAGGACTAAGAGATTCTGTTGTAAGTTGATTAAAGTCATAGCGTGCACGCTTAGGTAATCCTCATGTGCCTTTTTACCTTGTTTACATCGTTCTCATGTAATTCCAATGCTTTCTTGCAGTTTGAAAACGTGTAGCCGGTCTTCTTGCGCAGCTTGGCCAGTAGAGATTTGTTGCTAGCCTGCCAGACCAAGCCGTTTGTATGAATTAAACGAAATATCTGGGCAGGGATCATCTACAATATAAAATTAATTGCAATGAATATGTTTATCGATATTAAATATAATTTAAAGAAACAAGTTGTGTCTTAGAATACAACAATCAATATCATTTAACATTTGTAGAGCTTGAGATATGAGATGTGTATTTTAAAAAAATTTGATCATAGAATAATCATTGCAAAAATTGCAAAATGACATTGATTGTTCTAATTTGAGAGTATAGCAATAATCAGAATGCAAGTGGTTTCCCAGAAACATAACCTAAAAGCCGCACGCAGAATGTATGATTGTTTTCTGTTAAAAGCTGAAAAGAATGAGAAATGCAGATGTGAAATTATTGTCACGACAACATTGACGCTCGCAGGATTCATTAATTTCGCTGGAATCGATTAAATTGCGTTGCCTAGAGACTGCAATCGAAAGTTTGCAGGTTATCGCATATCTTCAAACGCGTTTGACACACAGAGACACGTGTCATGTAAAGTTGATTCGCGAATTAATTTCGGGAATAGTTACACAAGATATGAGCATGCGATTTTTTGAGACACTGTGCTTGTTTCGTGATTAAAAAAATATTTTAAGGTGATTTAACGGCGCAAAACACTCACCGTGATGGTTAGAATACAATTCAGGTCCGTAGTCATTCAATTGATAGATGAATCTTGGGAGCTTTGGGAGCCCCGACTTATGCAATTTTTTTATTATAATTAGGATTGTTGTAATTTATATAATTGTTAGAGTATTATTAAATTAATATAATTATTATGCAAACAAATTGAAATATTTGAAACATTTTAAAATAATAATTATTATAACATATTTAAACATATCTTACTTATCAATAATTATTAAACAAATCTATGTTTACTGACATAAATAATTATCAAAGATAAATAATACAACATAATTAAAAATTAATTTTAAAATAAATTAATTTTAAATTTTAGACAATGATTTAAAAGAAATATTGCTTAACAATAATGCTATTGCAATAATGATTACAATAATGCTGACTTTACAATTTATAATTATTTCAACTATTTCAAACAAATTTTATATATTTAATTAAATAAGTAAATTAATGTTAACCGGAAATAATTAATATTTATTATGATTAAGATATTTTACTTTGAAGAAAAAGTAAAATTAGATGTTCTAAATTTTCACGAATAATAATTACATTCTTAAATGTTAATTACATGTTTTATGTTATTACGTGTTTTATTTTTCAGTAACATTAATTAAATGTTATCTTGTGACATTTATGGTCATAATTACGATTAAATATGGAAAGCTCTTACTCGAAGGATATGCAAAGATCCAAGAATACAGTTCGGATACCGAAGGTTCTCGACACAACCGTAGAACCGCTATTCTCCTTGCCGCAGGACTTGCTCAGCCCTAAAAAATGTAAAAGAAAGGGAGAGGAATTAATTAGACGAAAAGGAAAGGTGCAAAAATTCCGCGGAGGTTCTTACGCCGCAAAACGCTTTCGCGAGGAAGAATTTCGCAGGTAAAAATTAAAAGAATTTGTCTTATGTATATGTAAAGTTTCTAGTTAAATAATTTCAAATTTATTTACAAAGTAATTAAAGTTAATAATTAAAATAAATTTTAAATAACGCTAAATTGCTATCATAAATTTAAATTAATTATAATATAATCCAATCCGAAAATTTAAAATATTCAGCATTTCGTTTTTTTATGTATTAAGATTAATGTCAGCTATTTTAATAAAACTGTAATAAAATAATTAACTTTCAATAAAGCGATACAAGTTTATATTATAAATTATAGTTTATATTATATTATAGTTTATATTATAAGTATATAAGTATATTTATATTATATTATAAGTTTATATTATAATTATAAAAGTTTTTTGGAAGAAATTTGGTGCTTTAAACGAATCTTTCTTTGCGATTAGATTTATGGTGGGTTTAATAGTGAGACCAGAGTTGCCGGAAAAGGACGTAGATCTGAGCGATGATAAGGACATCAATAGATATTATTATTACATTTGCAATGGAGTCGACACGATTCACACGGCAGGCATCGAGGAAGACTTCATTAAAGCGATACTCGCTCTGGTTCCTAGCAACTTGCGCGATCGGTTTCCCGATTTTATCAATAATTTGATGACCGAAATCAAGGAGGATTTTACAAAAAACATCAAAAAAGCCATTGTCGAATTTGCACTCATCGATCCTTCCAAAGAGCATCCTTCTGAGGTCAATTAAATTAAATTAAAAATAAAGTTTTTATAAATTTAAACATTAAAGCAATAAAACTGAGGATAACTGTAATATTTTACTAATAATATAATATTTCTTATTTGAAAAAACAATGAGTAATTTATCAAAGTAACAAGCCTTCAGCAATCAATTTTTAGTTCTAGATAATTAACGCAATTTATCTTAAAATTTAATCTAAATAATTATCGTTGTGTTGAGATATTTTAATATATATTTTATAAATAGAAATCAATATTTTGTCATCGACGATCTGATTTTCACTGATTACACTTCAGTTTGACGTAATCGAGGAACGATGCATCCAGCTGGATTTGCGGAAGCAGATAAAGCAGTGTCGCGAAATCCTTCGCCTGGATCTGTATCTAATAAATCCGTGCATGCGAATGACTCTGGAGCAGTGGGTTCGTGATTACAGGTATTCAATTATTAATGCGATTCGCGAATCATGTCCGCCTGTAACGAGTAATGCCAATGCTTCTTTCAGGCAGTTTCGTCTGTTCGATTTGGAGCACATCGCCGCGCACGAGGACAGTTGGGATTT